ATATATATACATATATATATTGTATGTATGTATGTATATATATATATATACATATATACGTATATACATACATACATACAAACATACATACATATATATATATATATATATATAGACATGTATATATATGCATATACGTATACTTGCCTGTTCTGTTCGATCTACTGAATGTGTGTTGTCGACCGTATCCGGATATACACATGGATTACCATCTCTTTAAAGCGTTAAGATCGTCTAAAACCCATATGCCATACCAATACTGTTGTCGCACAGCTAATGGACACATACGAGAGAGAGATTGTAAATGATCTAGAAACATCCCTCACCAAGGACAGTGCGCGTATCAGCAAAACGCTAATGCAGGCCGAGATATTGACAGGGGACTTCCATGCGGCGCATAAGCGATACGAAGCCATTCTGGAGGAGAAGAAAAATACGTATATTAAAAACCTGGCCTGGGTGTGTGGAATGTAAAGTTGTTTATTAAAGTATATATATATATGTATATATTGTGCTTATACATACTGTATATATCATATATATATATATAATATGCACAATATATACATACATATATATATATTTATATGATATATACAGTATGTATATGCACAATATATATATATACATGTATAATATGTATATCTATATATGTATATGTATATGTATGTACATATATATATGTAAATTTCTCCCACGGTTGCGTTCCTATTCTCTCTTGCCTGTAGCTTCGGCTGTATGCATGTTTGCGTATCTGCACCTCTATTTTGACCCCCACAGTTGCACATAAAACAATTCAAATGCGGAAACATAAGTTTGAATGACAAATGCTATCTATATCACTTGCATGCTCGTGGTCTATGTGTAAGGGCCGTATTCTCTCACACTGACAGTTTCCATTGAGTACCTGGTGCGCCTCGGCCACTTGAATGTTGCACTGAATTCTTTTTTCAATAACCAACACGAGCATTAATTAAACTAAACATACAACCCTACAACCCTAAACACAAAACCTTATGCCGTACATCGTAACACTTGCAGGAAAAAGAGCAGAAGGCGCTGGGCAATACAATCCCCATAATTGAAGAGCCCAAGGACGAATATAAAGCAGATGAGGAGTTGGAATGGCTCACCAAACGGAGTCTTCCGCCCAACCCCACACCGGCACAATTATGTATGTGTAGCTTGATAGCGATTGCAGTTTCACATCAACTTGTATATATATACATATATAGATACGTATATGTATATGTATATTTATATGTGTATGTGTATGCGTATACGTATTTATATGTATATGTATATATAAATATATATATATATATACATCCCCTATATATATGTATATGTCTATGTATATTTAAGTATAAATATACACTTACATATACATGTACATATGTGTATATATATACATATATATACATATATATTTATAGATATACATATATATAGATATATTATA